TACATTAAAATAAATAAATCGATAGAGAAAACTTCTAGCTAATAAGGATTTGTCTTGCTCATCTACTTTGGGCTTATTAGCATTGCTAACCAATCAGTATATAAGATTGAGCATGACCCAACCTTGCATTAAATTGGTCGATTAGATAGTAAATATTCATTGAATATTCAATGAATTATTTGGTGAAAAATTTTTATATTCGAATATTCAATTCAGTGAACCAATTATATATTCGGATATTCGAATATTCATCGAATATTCGAATATACTATTCATCGGATCAGATCTCTGTATTTGACATGTTTGGGATGGTTATTTTGTATGAAAATTTATGGAAAAACAGCTCTTGTCAACCAATGAACCTCAACAAGAAATATAAAAAAAAACTCCCAGCGCATTAACAGGCGCAAGACTTGTTACTCATTACGATTTATTATGATTAATTGAAATCTGATTAGACTTATTTTGCTTCTGTACTTATATGGATTATATAGGTTTTAATTGGAGTTTGGAAATGGTTTTATTTTTCATATGTTAAACCAATTAAAGCTGACTTAACATAAATAAACCCGGTTTCCAAGCTCTAAGTTTTAATATAAATTTTTTATAAATTTTGTTTTAGCTAACTATGTAAATAAATTTGGTTAAAAATATTTGATATTAATAAATTATAAAAAATTTGGATAATTAACATCAATGGTTAGGCTCAAGTTTTTGAATCAAAAATAAATAATTTAAATTTTGCTAAAGATTGAAATAATAGAATATAATTGCTATATAAAAATTATTTGTTAGGGAAACGATTGTTGAGAAGAAAATTAATTGGATTGTATTAAAATTTGAAATCATGTGCAGTTTAGCAGTCGCAGCTTTGTATAGCTCATAATTAGGTAAACACTATTTTTAACAATAACCAAAAATAATAAGAGGTAACGTCGTTATTACATGATAAAATACGCATTCATATTAACTGAACTATTTTTGAGATGTTATACATTTTAGATCTTTGAGACTCAGCTATTACATGAGTATGACGTTAAACAACCATAGAAATAGAAATAGGTCTTGTCTTGAAAAAGAATTATAAAATATAATGCACCATAAATTTAATTTTAAAAGACTTTAAAATAAAAATTTTATAAAGTATTCATGGTGTTTTACATATATTATATACTATTAAGTATTATATTTTTTATAATTTCCAAGTCACGTATATAAAATTTTAACAAATTTTTTACATTTGAGTTGTTAATTAGAATTTGGGTGTGGTTTTTAAGGGCTTAGAACATTTTATTTAAAATATCTCAATTTGTGCTATGCTGCATTGGGTGTGCGATATACCATATAAATCAAAAATATATGTGGTCATATAATAAAAATTGCATATGCATTTACTATTTTTCGGCGCACTGCCTTTTTTAGTACAGTAGTTTAAAAAATTTTATAAATTAGTTATAAAATAAAATTTATCGTATTATTAAATTATATAAAATAATCATGTACTTCGGAATGTTCTGCTTGTTCTTCAGTATAATTTATATATGGATTAAAGACGTGTATTTTTTTTTCTTCAGGATGGTTCAAGAAAAATGGGTCAAGATCATAAAATACTATTAAAAAAAAAAAAATCGAAAAAAGGGAGAATTAGTGCAAAGTACTAAATAAAATCAATCAACTAAGTCAACTAAGTGAATACAACAGGTATATAAAGTTCTCCCACTACTCTATACAACTATACTCCATACTTCCAATGCTAAATATTCCAGATAAATTTCACGATTCGTAGAAATAAACCTAAGAATATTGCTACAACACCTTTGGAGTGGTCACGATTTGTATAACACATCCAACAATGCTAGCCTTCGTAACATATTGATAAAATTTCACGATTCATAGAAATAATATCAAAATGGTACGGACCTACGACAACTTCTGACTTGTCAAGCGAATTGAAACGTGCCTAAACAAATCAACATGCCCATGTGAACCCTATTCGCAATTAAAAATCAGGAGTTCATGGCAGTTCTGATGTATCTCTCTTTTTGCAAAGTATGAAATACGGCCAGAAATGTCAGGTTAGCGATCGGAAGCGTGTTATATTAATACCTTCTTTAAGCAGTTCAAGGAAAGTTCATAACCGATCCCTCATGCCAAAAAAAATATTAGTTGCGACATATTAACATTAATCGATACTTACTTTTTTTAATAATTACTTATGATTTCTCTGGATTGCGTTTTTCTTATTTAAAAAAAAATCATAGGTCTATATATAGCATAATAATATGAGTAAATAAACATGTCAATAGTTTTGTTTGAGTTAGTCCGAATTTATTTTAATAAATAAAGATCAACGATATTATATAATGTTGACTTACATTATTCGCCACCTAAGTTGAAATTCTTTAATATAATTGTTAACACTTTTCTTCTACCTTGTATCAATATAGAACTATTACCTGGGTAATAAAAAATATGAAAAATATTATATTAACAATATGTTGTAGCAATAAACGAAATCTAAATCAACAATCTCTATAATCTAAAAACAGTCAAGCGAAATCAACTCAAGGCGTAAGTTCGTTCAATATACAGTATATATCTAGAGAGATAATCCCGGGATGTCTGGTTCAATATACTATTTAAGATATATTGAGGCAAAGTTTGACATATTGAAAAAACAACCAGGAAGAATTAACTAATAGTAAACCTCTACAAAAATTTCTACTTGCCTTGAAAATAAAATACAGGAATTAGAAAAAACGAAATCGTAAGATGATTTTCTAAACTAAACTCTGTGCGAGAACTAAACAAAAAAGCTTAAAATTTTTATTAATAAGTTTGGATTAGAAATAATAAATTTTGAAAATTAAACTTTAAGAAAATTTTTACATACAGTAGGTCCAGGAAGTTGTGGGTATGTGATGTTTGACTTTGTTCGTTTCCCATGTCTGTATAAGTGGTAAAAGGACGAGCAATTGTTTCATGAATATAAAAATTCTTAAAGAACATATTAAGGAGAGTTGACACGAAATACGGAAATAGGGATAATCACTTATTTCTTGTGGCCAATACATTACTTCATATTGAACTCCAGCAATATCTATTGTCGCTCATACATCCGGTTTTCTTTGAGTAATTAATTCACTAGTTAGATCTTTTTCGTGTTTATAAGAATCATAATCAATTATTTTCATCATTGAATTTTTTGTGGAAGAATTAATAATAAAGTATGCTGTATATTATCTTTGGCAGTGGCGTCTATCTTTTTCGGAGGGTTTCGTTAAACCAATCATGGGTCTTTTTAAAAACCCGCTTAAATTCTTCCAAAACCCTCTTTCTTGACAACGTTTAAAAAATTTTTATTTGATTTTAATTTTACGTGTTTTAATCCAAAAATAAACTTCAAGTTACATGTGTTTCTATTTGTAGATCATCACTTAAATTCGATTATTGTTACATAAGTATTGTTCAATTTGCAAAGTTTGTCATATTCTTATTAGTATTATTACTAGCTCTTTAACCCTCGTGATACTCGGAAAAAAATAAATTTAAAATTTCATATTAAATTTTATAAAAATAATAGTAGATAATAATGATAGGGTCTTAAAAGATGATCCCCAACGACTCACGGTTTACCTTGCAACTATCGAAAGCAATTTTTGAAAGTGTTGGTGGCGCATTAATCAGCCAAAGTAATACCTCCTAAATTAAATTTAATATAAATTAAAAGTTATTCTACTCGAATCTTATTCTTTTTATTCATTTCTTCATAACCTTTAGCTCTTGGTATTATTGATATCGTAATTCAAGAAATATTTATTTATAATGTCAATTTTTTATAATGATAACTCGGCAAAGGTTTAATAAATACACATATTAATAATTGGTAAATAAATATAAATATGTTAACTAATAAGTATGTACTATATAAGTTATAAAAAATTATTTAAAAAACTTTCTTATAATATACACTAGCACACTTTTAAACACTAAATTTTATACTTTATTAACCATATATACTTTCGAGATTGCTGTATAATATTTGTATATACTCTACTTACATACAAAGTACAGTACAGTACTCTCTTTACAATAAACTTTTCTATAATAGCTCTGAATATAACGAACTAGGTATAGAGTGTTGAATATTTTCATCATAGCTGTTATTGCTAGTGTTGGACAATGATGTCTATAAATATGATTTGTATATTATATACAATATTATATGAAATATCACATGACATTATTATATTGTCATAGTCCAACACCAGTTATAGTTTCAATTCATAAAAGAAAATAGAAAACATACAAAACACAAGACGTTGATAAAGCTAGTACTCAGCACAATCAAACAAAAAATTTGACAGTCAAATAATTGTAATTAAGTCGACATCAAATAATCGCAGATCAACCGATACATATTTAGTTTTGGTTGATATAACACAAGTATTTGATTATCAAATTTTTGTTTGATTGTGCCGAGCACTAGATAAAGCACAGGGTGAAATTTTATTCAAAAAGAACTTACTAAAATAAATATCAGTTATGTGGTTTGATTAATGCGCCACTAGAGATGTCATAAATTTCAAACAATTCAACACCAATTTCACCAATAATAGTGAAATTATTTAACCACCCAATTTTATTTCACTAGCATCTTTATGCATCACAAGCATTATTTAACAAGGAGGTTCAGGAACAATTTCGTGAAAAAATTCGAATAATACTCTTTGTAAAAAAAAACTAAGTCTCAAAAAAAAGTTTGTTTTTAAGAGAAAAGAAAATGATAACCCGAATTAAACCATTTTGAAATCATCTATTCCGAAATTGAGTTGAGAAGATATTGAATAAGATAATTAATTATCATGTAATTTTTATTAATGCAAATGATGTATATTCACTTCTTCCAAAGCAGAGCTGTTTTGCAATAGAAACTTTCTAATGTGTTTATTTGTAATCCATAAGTATGCTTTCTTTATTGATCTTATCAATTTACCTGATCATGACTTGAAAAACGAGTCATCTTTACCAAAATCACTTTTTTTTACACCCATTTTAGTAAGTAACCAAGCCTTACCAATTGGTTCCTGTCGAGGTTGTGCATTAGGGTCGAAGAATGCATTGGGATATAATCTGCGGATGTTTCGGCGTACGGTATAAAGTTCACTCACACTCATGAAATGAAATACACAAAGCGAATTTTCGTCTCTTCGGCAGTTTGCTTGAAGACTGTTAGTCGCAAATGTATTCATCACTATTTAATAATTTGGCAATGAGTTTTGACGTATCCAATTTTGATTGGGCGAAATTATAATTACGAGATCAAGATAATCAACCTTAAGTTGCTTATCGTATTTTTTAATATGTCCTCAGAGGCATTCAGGAAAATAGTCCTAAGAGCTTCCTTGGTTGATACGAACATTCTAGAAACGATTGGAAAAAGGATTGGCGAATTACAATAGTTTGAATGAAATTGTGCATCATACTACTAACTCATCTACGTTGTTTTCGGTATCTTTTCTTGGTGAATAAATTGCTATGTAAAATCATTAGATTATCGATTACATAACTGATAATGATAATGATATAAATTTATTTATTAATACAGTAATATCAGTATCATAATGTGTACCCTTCAATAACAGATAACAAATGAATAACACCAAATATATTAGCAGTTATAAAAGCAAAGACGACTAATGGTAATGCCTAAAAAATATGAAAAGCAATTTAGAAAGGTAACAGAAAGTAGCAAAGTGCGAAATATGCCATGCGGACCAGCCAACCAAAAAAAGAGCACGTTGAAAGAATCGTGACAAATATAAACCACGTTAACCATTCAATAGGTGATAAGAGTAACACAAATGAAATAATTTTTTGCGGAAATGTTCTGAAAGTTGGCATTTCAGGGGGCCAGTCACATACGTATCAAATTTTTTTATGCATTTTATACTCAAATTAACAAAGTAAAATGTTAAGTCTTAGTTAGTGATTGGACCCGGGTAGGTGCCACCCGGCTCACCCGCGGGGGACGGGTAACCCGGGTGGAGTTTTGGCCACCCGGGTGGAAACGGGTGACCCATGATCTTTTGCGCAAGACTTTACTAAACTTCAATTCAAATATGCATTTGTATGTATATTAATTGCTTTTTTTTTAAAAAAAAAATAACTTTTCACAAACGAATCGGAGGTAAATTTTTAAACATTACCATACAAACTATCTTTTTTTATTCAAAAATTTACCATTGATAAAGGACGTTCAAGAATTACTTTTGCATTTTTTACGTATCAAGCATAATAAACAATGAATTCTTAATAAATTTCTGCCCAATCTAAAAAAAATTACTATTTTATTTTTGATGCTATACTTTTAAAACAAACTGTATACCAAAAATATAACTATAACTTAGAAATATATTTGTATATACAGGTATGCATAATAGCGGGATATCTATTTTCACCTGGGTAACTCATGAGTCCACCCGACGGGTTGCTTTTTTAACCCACCTGGGTGGCATTTTTTTGATGGGTCCAATCACTAGTCTTAGTCATAAATCATATGGGCGGATTGATCTACATGCATTTTAATACACAAACTAGGCACAGTATACTGATATATTACAAATCAATAGTGCAATTATTCTTAATTTTTTACCGATTTCATATTATGATTTTATAGAAAAAATGCTAGAGCTTTGCATTAATAATTGTGAGGAATCGTTCAGTGTTTATTTTATAGCCTTTATACATTATTTATACTTACAGATTATTGTGGTTTTTGTAATAGACTTATTATGATTTGTATATAAGAGAGAGTCGGTATTATGACTTATTATGATTTTTATATAAGAGAGAGTCGGCATTATGGCACACTTAAGAGTTGCACATAAAAATTTTCAGAAAAAGCGCAAATTTGACGAAATAAAATAACATTAGATTTACTATCAAATGATAAAAAAAAAAAAAATCGAATTAAAAAAAATTTAAACTATTAACAAATTGCTGTGTTTTTTTTAGGTTAGGGTATTATGGCGCACTATGTATTTGTATCCTCCCTCCAGATATTCTGAATAAAGAAATATAAATTAAAATTATGATAAATCTTTGGTCCGAAGTTTATAATAAATGTTATTTAAACAGTTGTTAATAGTAAATAAATTGTAATTTTTATAAGTCAAGTTAAATAAAAAGAACAAAAAATATTAACAATGTATTCTATCGATTTTTGAGCCAATTAAAATCGATTTTATTGTTAAATAAATCAAGTGACTTTTTATAATTCATAAATGATAGTAAAGGGTCAGGTAAATAAATAGATTAGATCATATTTTGGGATAAAAGCGAAAAAAAAACTTCTTGCAATCGGTAATCCACTTATTCTTTTATATTATAATAAATTTTTTAGCGAATGCTTTCTTAAGATTATTTAATGAACCTTTATTAATTGTTATTTTAAAAAAAAACTAAAAATCAGAATAGATGCGCACGTTACTATGAACATTATTCACATGATATCAAAATTTTGGTTTCAGAAGTTTACACTAAATTACGTAATTTACAACCCTAAGTATAGTATGTATAGGCCAATTTTTCAAAATTATAAAAACTAACACTCATATATATAATATACCTGGACCGTATCAGTCACACATTACTATGTATATAATAAATTCCGAACACATGATCAATAAGTAACTACCGGATAATATAATAGGAGGAACCGTCCAAATATAGATATGATTTTTATTCTTCATTACACAGATCACTCATTGTATCGACCAGTCAAATATCATTACGGGATTAGTCAACCAATCAAATTGCGAAATTTACAAAAAGACGAAACCGTTAGATTCAAGTGGATTCAAAAAATATGTTGTAAAGCAAAGTGAGAGCTTCATGTTTGTTTAAAAATTTTCAATATTCATATAAAAGATAAGTCAAGCGAGCCTTCCAAAAAAGTATTGTAAAATAATATAAAAAAAATTTTTATCAATTGTGTAACGATTTTGTGCCGTTTCAATGGTTCCCCCTGTTGGATAATATTCATTAATCTCTTATCGAAAAACATTGGCCTGCACTAGTTATTTTATGGCTGTATGCTAGCTACTTAAGAAGCTGGAGATTTATTTATTAGGTAAGCAGTATAAGAGTATGGAGGTAATACAGTATATACATTTATAGGTGCTGAAACAGTGATTTCTCGAAAGAGTAGGGCTGAGAGTCACTGTAACAGACCAGGTAGAAAATAGTTGAGCAATGTCAATGTGATTATCAGCCGGTGGTTTCCCGTCTGCCGAAGCAGGCCGGCTGTAAAATGGCAGAATCAGGTGGCTATCCAAGAGTGATATTTTGATTCAGCTGTTTTGCACTGAGGCTTCTTTCTTTTTTTTTTTTTTTTTTGACCCTCGACACTCGTTGTCCACCTAATTGTTCTTTGACTTTCGAAGCTCGTTGCTGCGGGAGGCAGTTGGCTAAGTCGGTTGGTTGATGTTGGTGCCATGCG